AAAAACCGGGTTTTTAACGGTAAAGCAAATTTCATATTTCGATTCTGGTTTTACTCGAAAATACCTACGACAAAAACAACTTTTCCAGTGTTCAGTAATAATTATGTATGAGCAATATTTAACTTTATTTGTTATAATCGTTATGGTCTCTGTGTTTTAATACTTTCTTCTGCGACTGGTTTCAAAAATTTGCGCTTATAGCAAGCTAAATAGTAGGGCGGGTCGAAAATCTAATTTTTCTCAAATCCCTTGGAAATAGTGAAAATATATTGTATCATGAAGTCAACAATAAGCCTGCAAAATATTAGTCTTTTATTTCAATTGTAAGAGCGCGTGCATCGATCACCAAGTGACCCCCAGCACACTAGTCGAATAAGACCAATTCTCATGGGCGTAGCCAGGTAGCGGCAGGGGGGTACTCGAGCCGCCCCTAACTTTGAAATTTTCCTTATATATATATAAAATAGTACCCTGAAATGCCAGCTTAATAGGGTCGAGCCCCCCCTAAATTTCATTCTGGCTACGCCGATGCCAATTCTTGTTAAAAATTCGGCGTTCAGCAAAAAGGGTTGGTGCATATTATTAGATAATGAACCCGTTAACGCAAAAGATAAAGTTAAATATCTTTTCTCGCAGTCCTTTAGCTTATCGTTAATCTCAAAGTTATCTGTTTTCAATAAAATTTTAATTGTTCTCTTGATAATCGCACTGGCCTATTGTCAAAAGATGTAAAGAACAGCACTTATATTACTGGCGTGCATTTAGGTCGCTGGTTCCAAATATTCTAATCTTGTTTTAATGTTAGCTATAGTTTGCGAATTTTCGCAAATTTAGGAACAATTTCGGTAGCTCTAATAGAAAAGAACTGAACAGGCACAACTTCTAGAAACACTAATTAGTTTACTTATGGTTATGCATACAATATAAAAATTGCAAATATAGGAATAAGAAAAAAAATTTTAATTTATTTTAAAATAATTTGTTTATAATGTGAACGATTTTCATAATATTATTATCATAAACCAGTAACAGTAAATCTCGCCTTCAATTTGGTAATTATAACTTACCGATCGAGTAACATTTACCAAAGTTATAGCAAAAAACTTAAGTGTACCTCCATTTTTGTTTTTCTAAAAAAAAAAAATCTCTTCAATTTTATAAATAACCTTTAAGTGAAAGAACCGGATTACAGAAAAGTGTGCCAGGGAGTGACTTTTTTCGTTCAAGCTGAATGCATAGCAATATCGTCCAATTAAAGAGTCATCAAAAGGATTTCGCAGGATATGTTAAAGACTATTGCATTTACCTACAGTCACTTTTTCAAATAATGGAATTAACTAAAATATTTAAGTATGTATGTATGTATATCTAACCACTTATTGCACTTTCCCTACTTGAAACTACTATTAACTTCTCAAACGATTCCTAATCTTTGACAATACATGTTAGACTTCATTCGCCATGATCTTGAAAACTAACCAAATCGGCGTGACCAAGCCCATGGTCCTATTAATATTTTATTAACATCCGAAAGCATTAAAACGTTTGAAATAAATCTCGTCTCACTGTTTTGTATTTTTCGCTTGGTTGCTGAGGTAATGAAGAATTGAAAATTCATAACGGAAAATTATATTTTTTGTAAGTTTTATCTTAATATCTTAATAACTTGTAGACTTATTGAAAAATGATAAATGAACGTGAGGTACTAAGTTTAATGACCTTTAATTTTATATATCGTTCTGTTTTTAACAAATAACGAATTCCACAGATATTACAAGCCAAAATTTTATTTTCAAAATTTATACACTTTGATTCAATTGCGCGGGCTTAAGATGAGTTCTAACAAATAAATAAATATTACTATTGCAATACGGTCAAATTCCTTTTATTTTTCCCATACAAAATCGACCCAGCCTACTAAATAGGTAGATATCGAAAATAAATTATTATTTTCCACGAATGAAAGTTTTGAACAAAATTCTGTTTTCAAAGTCGTGGCTGCCAGCCAAATCGGATCAGAATATTGTTATTTTTTTAAAAAGCACCCCATTTTTTATAAGCAATTGAATCTCTGATAGTAAGTAATTCTTATCTAATTAAAGGTCAGACCTATAGCTTTTTAATTATTTGAGCATCAATTCTCTTTATAGCCAGACGTTGATCATTTCTGCTGAAAATCCCTCTTGAAGGAGCTTACTCTATTACTTGAAATATCAAAGAAGGGAGACTTAGGGGGTCAGTTTTACCACAGAAGCTTTTAGCCAAGGATCCAATGTATATCGCTATGACAAAAATATTGCCCGACAAGTAGATAAAATAACCGTTTTTAAAATTTTTGCTACAAATAAATTCCCCAAACAGCCCCCTTTGAAATGATTGAAACGAATATATGTAACATCGAAAGCAAATCACGAAAATTTGGTTAACAATTAAGGTGCACACTTTCTTCTTTTGGATCTAGAAGTTTTTAAGATTGGACCAAAAAAAAATCATAATAAAGAAAGAAATCAATGCACGTATTTCAAGCACAGAAAAAAAATTAAAAGGACTATGTTCTCTTTGACGTACGTCAAAGGTCAAGTAGAAGTGGGAACTTGTATGACTGCCTATTGGATAGCTCGGTTATATAGCTTTAAGAAATACTATGTTTAAAGACATTTTTATCAAAGTTGATAAATATGACATTTGATCAGTTTTGTTACACAAGTACTACCACGGCCACAGGCAAAAATATTGGCTACAATTTTTTCATTTTGTTTGCCAGATATACGTTTTATAGGCGCACTTGCTCAACATTCGCATTCGCAAAAGCTCCGCATTGATTATTGTTAATGCGAAAGCGAAAGCGATTGTTAACATTAATGCGGAAGCTCCGCGGTTGCGAATGCGAATATTCGCAACAACCCTATAGTAGTCCATGATAAAAAAATAGGAAGGTAGAACCGCTGAGAGGAATTTTTCAAATTCTTGACGTTTGCAAGCAATTTAATTTTAAAATTTTACACAAACTCGAACACACATTCCCATTTTCAATCTCATACAACAACACCTTTGAACATTTGCTTTTTTTTTACTCTCAATTTTATATTATTTTAAAATGTTAGCAAATTTCAAAAAAAAAAAATCTTGACCGACGAATTGAGAGAACGAGCGCACTTGTGCACAAGGGTATATTAATTTTTAAAAATAAAAATGTTAATAAGCCAAAATAACATTGACAAATACATAGTTTAGGAAGAGCCTGCCTGAAACTATACAAAAAAGCAAATAAGCAAATTGTATAGAATTGACAACAAGAACCACGCTGTCGAGTTTAAATAGCGGCAAATCAGCTGCACTTGATAGTAGTTGGTTGAATAAGGAAAAATGAATTAACAACAAGAGTTTACGGGATGTACATAGCTCAGTGGTTAACGCTTCTGACTTTGAACATCGATTACGCAGGTTCGATCCCTGCTGAAGTCTAGAAAAAAGAAGTCTGATGAAGAGATGTGGTGATCTCCGAAATGGCAGCTATAACTTCTACCACTTAGACTTTGTTGCTTTTTCAATTTTTCCTAATAAACAATCGTGGTACAAAGCTCATTAAAAATATTAAAAATAACAAGTAAGAAAGTCTAAGTTCGGGCGGAGCCGAACATTAAATACCCGGCGCACGTATTAAATATGTGTTTTTGACCTTACCGAAAGCTACCGCTAGATGATAAGCCGGGGTGTATCAATTTTGAGTAAATTAGCGTCCTTAAATTTCGAAATATTGCAGTTTCAAGCATTTCTGAAATTTACCGTTATATGTAAAGCGGCCTCAATTTTAGTCCACTTTCAATAATTTTCAACCTTTTGCTTTTATGTGGCAAGCACAATAACCATACCGAGTTTGGTACAAATTGGTAGCACGGTTACCGAGATACATATATGTGATCATAAGTGGGCGGTGCCATTTTTTTCATAAACGTATTTCTTGGTAAAGAATTGTTGCAAGCAACAAATTTGAATAAATTAGCTTTAATATTTACTGATTTATCGAAGATTTTGTATTTCTCTAAATTACCGTGATATGGGATGTGGGCGTGGTTATGTTGTGCCAAGGCCAACAAATATGCCAAGTTTTGAAGAAATTGGTGCAGTGGTAACCAAGATATACACATGTAACCATAAGTGGGCGTGGCTACGCCCATTTTCTGAAAATGTATAATATTCTTATTTTTCGTCTAAAACTTATTGTAAATATCAATTTTGAAAATATCAATTTGGAAAAATGCCGCCCCTATGCCGATGTTCAATTTTGTGCCGATACTAGCCGATGCCGATTAATCGGTCGGACTCTAATAAAGAGTACGTTTCACGTATGTCATAATCCGAAAAAATGTTTTTTTTTTACGTGGCGTAATAAAACATCGTATTCGAATTCGATTAAAGAATGATTAGAAAAACTGGGCTCGAATCGCCACATACGGTATCGTGCTATTCGTCACGTAAAAACACATTTTTCGGATTATGACATACGTGAACGTACTCTTTGTCCCATTCAGCTTATACTGCCTGACGTATCGCGTAATTTTCTTTCGTATCGTTTTCGATACGTGAACGGATGTTACGATTCGAGCCCAGTACACATTATAAATCAATTAGAATTCGACGTTAGATATCGAGAACTAAGTATTATTGTAGAGAATTCTATAGTTCTCAACAGTCTCTCTACTCATCTTTTAACCATCTACCTTAGAGAAACACATTCGAATTCGAATCGCTTTCTTATAGTTATCTGGCCTAAATGTTCGTTGGGTAGCGCCAATTCTTCAAAACACCACATGGTGGTATTATAGCGGTCTTGGAAGTACCACTTATTTACTGCAAAAATCTTCACTGTTCAACATACGCATTTCCTTGGAAAGTAATCTTCGAGAGGAACCCTGAGATAAGGTAAAAGGTTCATATAGAAAATAAATAACACACATGTTTAGCAATTGCTTTATAACATACATATGTATGTACAAATCTTCTGTTGAGCATATACCATATTTTATTGAAAAAATAATAACTTTAACTTTGGTAACAATCGCTTTGCAACGGTTACGTACACCTGTTATTAAACACGAGTTTGAACATATTCAAAAGCTATGTACGGTATACATAAACACACATTGCAGTCAAGTATTTACAAGAAAAAAAAAACTAAAAAATCATATATACATGCTTCGCCTTAAAGTATTACTGCTTTCGTCAAACAGATTCCACATTACGCTACTGCTCATCTTTAGTAACACAGCGAATATGTCTCTTTAATCCTGATATGCGACAATTATTTGTGCTAGACATATAGATAGGCGACAGACTTGGTGGTTTCGTCAAAGAGATTCCACATTACGTTACTGCTCATCTTTAGTAGCACTGTGGGAATGTCTATTTAATCCTGATATGCGACAATTATTTGTGCTCGACATATAAATAGGCGAAAGACTGGGTGGTTTGCCATACATACGCAGCCGTTCAATACGCTGTCTTGGTGTAGGTTTCGATTCCATTTTAGTTACATTACTACAAGATGAATTAGATAATCTACTAGCGTTCAACGATGATGCGCTTTTATTTAAAGTTTCATTATCCCAGTCGATGCGTTTTAATGATGCTTCCTTTATTGGCGTAGTTGTTTCTGTTGTTGTTGTTGGAGAAGCTGCTTCCAACACTGCTCGCTTACTAGCTCGTGTACGCATGCGTGTTTCTTGTTGTAATGGCGGATGTGGCGTGCTGGTGCTCACGCAAGCCGAAGCAAAAAACTCTCGAAGGTTTGGTGTTTTGGGTGGTGAATTGAGTTCAGCAATATTGCTTATTTTCGTTGGAGTTTTTACACCAACACTTTCATCCTTCAGCTCATTAGGTCGTTGAATAATTTTTGCATTCGATTTTTTCCGTTTATTCAAAGAGAGTAGATTCTTGCGCGCTATTATACTACGACTAGCTGCGTAATCGGGCGGAGTTTTTACAGCCAATTCACTCAAGCTGGAACGTGTAACTGATTGTTGTATATGAGCTAGAGGACTTCGTTGAAGGCCAACAGATTTACAAATTAGTTTTGGTGTATGTTGGGGGGGAAGATGAAAGCTCCTCACCGTTTGGTACAAGATCTATGTCATCGCGTTTTCTTTTGCTCGAAACATTTAATTGTGATTCCTGTTCAACTTTAGATACATCATCCGCGTCAAGTAGTGGCCATTCAGAAAACACCACGTTTTCCAACGGTTCGTCTTTGGAAGCGTTTTCTGAATTTTCCAAACTTGCTGCCGATGGTAGCGCGTCACTTAGTTTTGGCAAGTTCTCAAGAATAGCGGCAGCTTTTTGTTTAGCTAATTCTGACACCAAAATTGGTTTTTTAGATGCCGTTGAAAATCCAGGAAGACCTTCGTTACTTGTGGTACTAGCCTTAACTTCAGTTTGTGCTTCCTCACCCTCCATGGGCCACTCACTGAATTGCATGTTTCCTATGCACTCTTCGGGGATATGGTCAACATTTTCATAAGGCACATCTTGCATGATCACTGCAGCACGCTTTTGTGCTCCTTCAGATATACGTATAGCTTTGCAAGAAGCAGTTCGAAAGCCTGCACATGATATGGAAGTGTTCGGCGCGTTTGTTGGAGCTTCATTATTCGTTTCTACAATTACATTTAATTCTGGTAGATGCTCTAATATCTTTAAGGCACGTTCTTTTGCTTCCTTAGATATTTTTATTGCTTTGCTTGAAGCTGTTGTAAATCCTATAAACGATTCTTTTTCTATTGCTGCCCTGGTCAAGGAAGTGCGCTCATGCTGTAATGGCGGCAGCTGTTCAAGGATTTTGGCAGCATGCTGTTTTGCTTCGCTTGAAATCGTAATTTTCTTATTTGACGCCGTACAGAAACCAACCAAACTTGGCATTTCCTTTTTTTCTATTGTCAATCCACCATCTAAATTAGTGGAAGGGTTGGTGCGATTCTCCGTGGATGTATCCTGTGAGGATTCTGAAGTTTTATCAACGATTTTTTCTACTACGTGTTTCGAAATTGTTATAGTTTGATTTAGAGCATGCTGAGGCTCTTCTCTTTCATCATTCATAGTGAAGTCATCTGTGCAACTAGTGTTTGTCGGTAGCGGGGGCAGCTCTTGCAATATTTCGTTTGCACGAGCTTTTGCTTCCATAGATATTTCAACTGTTTTATTGGACGCGGTACGAAAACATGTTGCTGAATCTGCATTCAACTCCAGGTTATACATTAATTCGTCGGAGTTTCCTTTGTACAATTTTGACTTTGAAACTGCATCTAAGGCTTCTTCCATATCGAAATTTGCAAAAAAATCACACTCATCATTCCATTCGTCATCCTCGTTCAAACTATCTACTTCATGTACTATGAAATAAATAGAAAATAAAAATTATTTAATCAATAATTAATTTAATTTCCAAACATACCTTGACTTTGAACAATATCACCGTTTACTGCTGATATGGGTTTCATACCGTCGCTAGTCTCTTCATCCTCACTTGGAAATCCCTTAAAATCCTCTTCAGCTGAAATATGCCCACCATGACTGGTCAAACATTGTTTATTTATTTCCTCCGATTCATCTTTCTGAAAATTGTTAGTATTTTCCTTTATTGCTGTGTAATATATTCCTGAACTTTTATCTGCAACGGCTTGCACCACATTTTGGCCTTTATTTTGAACTAACTCTAGCGACTTCATTTCTTCACAGGTCTCTGGTTTTCTATCCACTCCACCCGACAATTCCGAAAAGTAGGCACTCAAATTTTGTAAGTTCTCGCACAGCTTTTGGGAATGCTGCAAATAGACGCCTTCTTCGGAAACTGCTTCTAGCCTTAGTTGAGTATGATCTTCTTGCACCGATAGATCACTGTCATTGCTCAGTAAATCATCATCCATGGCACAATGCTTCTCTCTATCGGGTGATTGGACATATTGCTCAGCAATATTTTTACGCGAAAATTTATGGTCTTGTCGACGTCTGCTATAAGTGCGCAGAGGTTCATTAGCAAATCTAAAATGAAAACTACTTTCTTCCGACGACTGCTGGGGCTCTGGCGATGCAGGCGAACTACAAAAATCTTCCAATATTAAGTCTACGATAGATTTTGGTTTTTGCCTCGAATCTGGTGTCACCGGCACATCAATATCTCCAGTTCTATCTGGCTTAAATTTCGCTTTTTCTGTATTTTTTTCGGTTTCCTCACATACTTGCAACAGCTCTGAATCAGTGATTTCAAATACGTCTTTTGGGCTGCTTTTAGAAATAGTGTTATTTTCTATGGCGAATTTAGGAGGTTGAAACAACAAATTATTGCACGGTTCGAAGCCCTGCGTAGCTACAAAGCTGGTTGAGTTTCGCGAAAGCGGTCGGAAACGATCAGCAAGAAGGAGCAAACGTTGCTCTGCAAATGGATCATAATTGGCATCTATTTGGAATCGTGGTTTTTCAACGGGATATTGAAGGCATTGTGCTTTTGTATCATCATCCTCACATTCCTCCGAGTCATACATTACCAAAAGTGTACAGGATAGATCATCATGAATGGTTTCATCAATATTCGAAGCAGTCTTTTGATCGCTACATGTCGCCTCTGCTGGTCTTGTGAATGTTGCATTGAGTCTCTTGGTTTTTCGATGAAGGCGCGATCTGTGTATGGAGCGATTCAATTTTTGCGGACTGGATTTAATGCTTTCATCAGCCATTGGAGGTCAATAAAACCACAACATAAACTACTGTGGTAAAACCGCGAAATAATTTCCTATAGCAGAAAATAAACAAACATTTCTTTCAAAAAACCAGAATCTGTCAAGCAGTTTGACTCAAACTACACTGCAAAAAATTATTTATAAAACTCATAAATAATAGGGAATTTAAGAGCGAAATGCACCATACAAGTGGCTTGTCAAACATACTTCAAACCTACTTTTCCCATTTCGCCAGTAGGCATATGCATGAGTATGCTCACATAAAAAACGTTTGAAGCAAAGCAAAGCAAAATCTTGGGCAACTCGCAACTTTTGTCCTTTTTGGCAATCAGCTGTCTATATGTATTTTTTCTCGTGCGCTTGCATTTGTATTTAATGACAAAAACAGGGTAAATATGAATTTTTATTGCTATTATTAATGCATATTATTATATTGTTATCTATTTTACAGATAAAAAAGATGGAGGAAAAGGAGAACGCAAAAGCTGTCAAAGCATTTATTGTAGCATACCTTCTGCGTTTCACGCTTTGTTGTCAAAGTTTGAACCGTCAAGCGAAGCGAGGAAAGTTGTATGTGAATGGCCCTTAATCGCGCCAAGCTTGAAAATGAGCACCGTGCTGTTGAATGTAAACGGAGTATAAAAAATGGAATCGGAAAGTCTTTATAAATCGATTAAATCGATTTAAAAACAGCATATCTAGTGAGCACTTTCTTTGCTCGCAAGCAAGTTCGTGGCTTCAGTCAGCAATTCGTTTTTTTGCATGTAATTTAAAAGAAAAATACCTAATAAGTAAAATAAACTAAATTAAATTGAACAAATGCTGCTAATTTCAGGGTTGAGAACCGGGAAGTAGCAAAGGAAGTCCAGAACTTTCAATTTGTATAGAAATTAGCCGAGAAAAAAATGCATACGATAAGTTGCCCAAAAGTGGAGTGATGAAATTATAAAAAGGAATAAAATGAAAGGCGGACAGAGCAGACAAGGAAATAAAATAATCAAACAAAGGAAAGTGAAGTGAAAGAGGGCAAAGCAACGACCGAAGAAACGATTTTTTTGCACGCCAGTAAACGAAGACGAAAAGCGAAGCGAACTAGCGAGCGAGCAAGTTTTCGATCAGTTAAAAATTGTTAATGTGGTCGGAAAAGGAGCACATTTTAAAAAATTAAAATTTGCTAGTTTGACATTGAACGGTGCACATAATATAATAGGTAGATATTCAATTAGCATTTGTCTTTTCACATTTCATTCCGAACTAGATTTTTATTACATATTGATTTCGCGAACCAGTGGATTGGAGTACGTGTCGAATTATAAGCAAAGCGAAACTGTGTAACACACCAGCAATTGAACGTGTGCCGGTGCTCCACTAAAAAGTCAAGATTCTTAGCTACGGCAGCAATTCCTATAATAACGCTTATAACAGCTCAATCGCCGCAGCCACGCTCCACAAGCAGCCCGCAGTGCCGCCACTACCACCCCCAATTATGTTTGTCAATTCGATGACGTTTCGCGGCAATCCCGCTCCCAACCATCATTACGCAGGCCACCCATTGGCCACAGCACATCATCCGCAACAACCGCAATTGCATCATCATGCCGCCACAGGACAAGCTGGCGGGCCGATGGCACATCATCCATCGGCAGCGCATGGTACGCATCCAGGAAGCCATCCCGGAACGGCAAATAACAATATTCATCATGCCGCCTCGGCCATGAGCCGTCATGCACAGCATGCACCAATGGGAATGGGTAGTGGAAACATCACTTCAATGTCGCCTCATATGCCTAACAATGGCAGCGGCATGCCCGGAAGCGGTAATGGTAGCGGTGGCAGTTCTAGCTCTGCAGATAGTGGTAAAATTTATATTAAAAATTTGGAACGCTCCATTGACAACAAAGCTGTCTACGATACATTCTCGGTTTTTGGCAACATACTAAATTGCAATGTAGCCAAAGATGAGGATGGCAATTCACGAGGATATGGTTTTGTGCATTTCGATTCTGAAGAAGCAGCACGCACTGCCATTGAAAAGGTTAACGGCATGCTGTGCAACAATCAGAAGGTGCATGTCGTGAAATTTATACCACGTCGCGATAGGGAGCAGGAGAAAGCTACACAGTTTAGGAATTTATATGTGAAGAATCTGAACGAAGATTTTACTGACCAGCATTTGCGTGAAATGTTCGAGCCGTATGGACGCATAACAAGTCATAAGGTAATTATTATTATTATTATTTTTTTGAACGCGCAAGTGTCGGATAATAATATTTACACATAGTGAATAAATGAGATGTGGATTCATGTAATTTGGTGTTATGGCATATCCTCTTTATACATCCTTTCAACTCTTTACCTTTGCTTACCTAAACTTTCCTCTGTATCCGCTTTTTCCTGTTACACAATTTTTTCTAAGTCGTTCTATGCCCTGCTTTATTCTGTTTTTTTTTTTCATGAGAATCGCAACAGCATAATGTTGCGCATGTCCTTGTTTATGTCTTGTCCCACCCCAAAAGGCACCCATGTTAATACCTAATAGTTTAGTTATTGCCATACATATCTACTTTGGTTAGCCCTTGGCTTGACAACTACTAGTACTGCTAATGATGCATATGTTATGGTTGATGGGACAGTATTAAATTTTATTAAATTGAATTTTCACGCCTCATAGGTATACATTTTTATATGGTTTATGCTTGGTGATTTGTATTAGGTGCATGTATTTATGGTTGAATTTTATGGAGGAAGTAAAGTTTGATAAGCAAACAGTTTCACTTAGCACTAAAAATAAAACATAAAGTCGAGTGAACAAATATTACTATGTACATAAATGTACAACCCAGAGATACTGATAACTGCACCTTTTCTAATAGTAGTTCAGAAAGCGTCAAATATATTTCAGAAATCATCAAATGTACTTCAGATTAGTCACGCGTACTTCAGAAACCGTTAATTGGACTTCAGATTAGTTACTTTTACTTCAGAAACCGCAAAATGTACTTCAGATTAGTCAATTGTACTTCAGAAATCGAAAAATTTACTTCAGATTAATTAATTGTACCTCAGAACCCATAAAATGTACTTCAGATTAGTCAAATGTACATCAGAATTGGATTTCAGATTAGTCAATTGTACATCAGAAACCATAAAATGTACTTCCGATTTGTAAATTGTACTTCAGAAACCGAAAAATGTACTTCAGAAACCGAGAAATGTACTTCAGAAGCCACTTTTGTAAATTTACTTCAGGTGTTAAAGTAGTGCTCTACAATCCATTTAACATTACAGTCCACTTCTTCCAATGAAGGGACTTTACCCCAAATCCTTCTTTTTTGAGAATAATGATATAACCAGTAATTATTTCTCTGAGGGTGATATAGCCCTCGAGCAAACTTTATGAAAAAGACGTTTGCACGACAAAAGGAGAACTATGTACATATGTATGTATGTATATAGGGCGTTCTTGAAAAGTTTTTTGAGATAGGTCATTTTCGAACTGCCTGCCGTGATATGTCGATCTTTCACTCAGCAGTCGATATAGCCTTTCGCTTAATGCTGATCTAAAAAACCGGAATTATCTTGGACCTCCTTTTTACAAAATATACACACTTTATTAATTAAAACTACATAATAATTGTTGTAGTTTCAAAAACTCGCAATCGAATTTTGGCGAAAATGTTATATGTTTCTGAAGTACAATTTAAAAATCTGAAGTACATTTTTCGGTTTCTGAAGTACATTTTTTGGTTTCTAAAATACAATTCACTAATCTGAATTACATTTTTCGGTTTCTGAAGTAAATTTTTTGGTTTCTAAAATACAATTCACTAATCTGAAGTACATTTTTCGGCTTCTGAAGAACAATTGACTAATCTGAAGTCCAATTAACGGTTTCTGAAGTACGTTTGACTAATCTGAAGTATATTTTACGGTTTCTGAAGTACAATTTACGATATCCGAAGTACAATTGGAAAAGGTGTAGACGTTACCCATTCCCACGACAGCCGGTTCTAAGTATAGGAATAACTCGGGTTTTACCCGACCAAGGGCTGTTGGTTCGGCGATCTAACCTCGTTTTGGAGATACTTCCTCAGAAGTTGTTCGTCCATAGGGCTACATTTGCTACGCATTCTTCGGCTCAGGGCTGGCATCGAGTCAAACCCAGGGCCAGAAACCTACACCTGCACCACATCATTTGTGGCCCCATGCTGCTCAAACAGCAGCCTCCACGGCGAACCCCAGTCCACCTGAGCAGCTCCACACAAACACCACAGCACTACAACACAATAGACCACACCACAATCACGATGGACCACACAACCGCACAACCACCCACACACCGCCGCCAACAACTTCTGGTTCCTCCTACAATCTGCACGGTATGTCAGACCAGGATATTCCGTAACGTGACATCAGAAAAGTGCAACACCTGCCTTGGCTGGTACCACTTTAGGGCATGTTCAGGTCTGCGTACCACGCGAGATTGGACGAGGAACTTCGAGGGCCCGTGTTGCGCCGCTCAGTCGCAAACCCCAGCTGCGACGATACCCACTATCACTACAGGGCGGCAACCTCCACAGCAGCGCACACGGCCTATGGTGGCAAGGCCATACACATCCCTCACTCCCCGCATAACTACAGATCAAGATCGAGGAGATAACCGTCTTCATGGGAAGACATGGTCTATTGATAGCTGCGGTCCAAGAGAGGAAGTTGCACAGCAATTCAACATTGTTGAAGTGCATCGTCGAGATCGCAAGCGAGATAATGGTTGTGGCGTAGCGTTCATCATGCACCACACCGTGCAGTATCGTCTTATTGAAGAAGACATCGACCTCAGGGATACCACCCTAGAATGTCAGGGCATTGTTATCCGGTCAGGCGATGTCGAGTTCGAAATATTTAACGTATACATACCCCCTGTCACCTGCTGCCCGGTAAGATATCACTCTGATATAGGTGCGCTCCTCAGAGGTGAAACCGTACTGTAGTAGGTGACTTTAATGCACACCACGATCCTTGGCACTTAAGCCTGTCAAACGATCGTAGGGGAACAGACTTGGCTGAGCAGATAGACGATTCGACATTCTGCACAATGAACGACGACGCACCCACCAGGATTATGGGCGACCTCAGGGATACCACCCTAGAATGTCAGGGCATTGCTATCCGGTCAGGCGATGTCGAGCTCGAAATATTTAACGTATACATACCCCCCTGTCACCTGCTGCCCGGCAAGATATCACTCTGATATAGGTGCGCTCCTCAGAGGTGAAACCGTACTGTAGTAGGTGACTTTAATGCACACCACGATCTTTGGCACTTAAGCCTGTCAAACGATCGTAGGGGAACAGACTTGGCTGAGCAGATAGACGATTCGACATTCTGCACATTAAACGACGACGCACCCACCAGGATTATGGGCAGCTGCTGCAGCTCGCCAGACATAACAATAGTCAGCGCTGGTCTGATAAACAGCGTATCATGGCGACCTATGCTGACCCGAGCATCAGACCATCTGCCCATAGTCACCTCGATCGATAAACCAACCGACTTCGCTTCCGCGAAACACCGGACCTATATAAAATTTTCTAAAGCTGATTGGAGAGGCATCGCGCTCCCCACACCAACCGACGTCAACCTTGGTGAACGTAAGTTCCGCAGGGTTGTCACTGCTCCTGCAGCTCGCTTCGTACTGGCAGGATGCATTACGGACCCCCGTCCAAACTTCCCTGCTGAAGCGGCTGTTCTAGCCGATGAACAACCTTCGTCAAGCCGATCCCGGAAACCCCCGTATTAAGGGTCTGAATGCGGAGATTCGGCAGCTGTGAACGTACATAAGCGGAAAAAGTGGGAAGAGCATTTGAAGACTTGCAACTTCATCTCTGGTGTGAGTAAGCTTTGGTCAAGCGTGAGGTCACTGTCCAATCCGACGAAGCAGGAGGACAGGGTGAAAATTTCTTTCGGCGACCATGCTTTATCGGACCCGGAGCGATGCGCAAGCTATTTTAGCCGGCAGTTCATACTGCATCATCCGGCGGACGAAACCAAGCGTCGAGTGACCAGAAGGCTGCACTAACTGCCAACAACTTGTGCCCCCCCTTGCTTTTACTAGCGGTGAAGTTCGGGTGGCCATCGGGAAGGCGAAAGCCTCCAAAACCATGGGTCCCGACGGAATATTTCGTTCCTGCGGGAGTAGCGTACCTAACGGAGGTCCTCAATTTCTCTATGGCCACCCTCAACATGAAAGACATATGGAAGGTGGGGAGAAGAATAGTCCCACTGCTCAAACCGGGGAAACCAGCCAACAAGAGAGAATCGTACCGACCGTTAACACTCCTTTCCCCGGTAGCGAAGGCAATAGAGGCCTTGCTGCTCCCGTATTTCACGAACCACCTGACTCCAGGCATCAGCTTGGTTTCCGTAAAGTTCACAGTACAACATTGTATGTATTGTATGTATAGCCAAAAGAAAAAAAAAGTATAAAATAACAAGTAATTTTTAGCAAAAAAAACCGACTTCAACTCTCATATAAAAATATATATATATATATATCTCATGATCCACTGATCGGATCTTAACCAGATAAGTATGGGACCACCTCTGAGACACTACCTTTCCGATGCAAAAAGAATTATCGAAATCGGTTGGTTGACGTGGTCCAAAGTTATGCGGTAACATACATAAAAAAAAAAAAAAAATCCGACGAACTGATAACTTCCTCCTTTTATGGAAGTCGGTTAAAAAATAAAAATAAAATAGATAAATAAATAAATAAAAATTAAAAGAGAAAAATAACGAAATACAATTTCAATTGGCCTATATCTAAAACATACACATTTACATTTTATGTAGGTATATAGATAGCGAACCTCAGCTGAAAATAAGTTAACGAAAATACGAGTACAAAACGCTCTTAAAGTTGCTTTTATTTAGACTATTGCGAATATATCCTGGAAGCGAGTTCCAGGTGCGAATAGCATTGACGAAAAATAGTCTTGCAGATGCTAGATAATTGTACTTGGGTGTAATCAAGTCAGTAAGGCGTGCAGACTTTGAGAAGGAAAATTTTTCGTATAGATATCTAGGATCTTTATCCATCATTAGGCCAAATATAAAAAATACAATTTCGTGCTTTTAAGTATTCAGAGATACTGCAGCCCAATAATCGCGATTTCCGTCGGATATTCGCTCAAATTTCGATAGCCCAAAAACATATCGAGTAACATGATTGAATACTACATCAATTTTATAAGAAGTTTGAGAATCCAGGCTGCTGTAGACTAGTTCGGAATAGCAAATAATCGGCAGTATTAATTGTATGGCCAGTTTACGCCTAACGATTAATGGTGTAAAAGTAGCAGACATTCTTAAATTTCTTAAAGTATAATAGACTTGACAGAGTTCACGTGATCAGTGCATGTTAGGTTAGTGTTTATAACAAGACCGAGAATAGTCACTTAAGAAGCAAATTTAAGAGACTTATCACCAATGTATAAGGACGGAATAGCATCAAATATAATATTTCTTTTACATACAGGCAACACACACAGTTGAGACAAAAACCATTTTTCGAAGACCAAGACGATATAGACATTAACTCTCTGTTGAAATTCTCGCAAAAGTTAGCTATGTCCTCAAAAGTTCCTGACAAATAAATCTGTATGTCGTCCGCATAAGCATGCATTTTTGCATATTGGCAAGTACTGATTATGTCATTAATAAATAAACTAAATAACAATGACCCTAAAATGTTTAGAGACAAATCGAGCAAACTCAGAAAAATAATACAGGTGTAGAACCCCCTTGGTGGTGTCCTTTCCCCGCTACTGTTTAACTTTTACATTTCAAAGCTCCCTCAACCACCAGAGGGAGTCTCGATTGTCTCTTACGCCGACGATTGCTCGATCATGGCGACTGGGAATGGAATTGATGACTTGTGTTCGAAAGTAAACGGGTATATCTCCAAACTTTCTCGCTTCTTCACTGCAAAGAGCCTAACCCTCTCCCCTAAAAAAAGTATCTGCGACCTTGTTCACCTCCTGGACGAAGGAGGTCAGGCTACCGCTGGGAATTAACGTCGATGATACACCAATTCCGACGGTGAATTACGCCAAAATACTCGGAGTAACCTTCGACAGTCTGCTCTCCTTCTCTGCGCACACAACCGCTATTGTCAACAATGTACTGAGCCGCAACAAGGTCCTAAGTCGCTAGCCGGCCGTACTTGGGGCAAAGACAAAGAAACGTTGCTGGCAACATACAAGGCAATAAGCCGGCCGGTTTTAAATTATGCAGCACCGGTGTGGTCGCCGGGGACTAGTAGGACGCAGTGGATGAAGCTGCAGCAACGCATAACACCGCACTACGGACAGCGACTGGATGCCTTCTGATGTCGCCTGAATACCACCTACACGACGAGGCGAAATTGCTCCCGATCAAGGAGCACAATACAATGCTCTGCAAGAAGTTCCTTGTTGGGAGCCATAGACGTGGTCACCCGAATGGGCAACTGCTTTCAGAAGAGCCCTCGCCCAGGCAAGTCAGGAGGCATCTCTACGAACTGACGGACAAAGTCCAGAGGTTCATTAAACAACCTCTGGACCCGTCAGCTTAGCGACAAGCCCTGAACGGCATTCACAGGGAGTCAGTCTCGAGTTATGTAGACTCCAGACCTGTGAACGCCGTTCTAGGCACACAACCATCGGACATTGACGGGACGGAGCTTCATCTGTCTCGGGAGACTAGAACCACAATAGCCCAACTTCGCTCTGGCTATTGCAGCAGGTTAAACTCATACCTGAGCAAACTACACGCAGATGTACCAAATGAGTGTCCGGCATGCGGGCATGACTCAAAAAATCTCTTCGTATGCCCGGAAAACCCGACACAACTAATCCCTTTGTCCCCGTGGACCGACCCCATTGAGGCTGCACGCTTCTTGGGGCTTCCGTTAGTGGAACTTGACGACAACGATTGAGATATTAACCGATCTGGACGGGGTTGTTGTAGCCGCTACAACAACAACAACAGCAATAACTAGACGTTACCACGGAGCGACTCAGATTTATATCCAGTCAAACACTCCGTTCAGCATCACTTCCCAAAATCTCTTTGGGAATTTGTATGCTGTTCCAATAACAACAACACCGGTCCTAAGGCAACAGAATTTAACGTATGTCGAAATGTTATGTTTATTTCAGTCTATGATGTACATATATCTTACAGACTAGATAACAGAGATTTGGGTACAGATACACAAATACACAAATACATACCAAGAGGAATTTATACATTATTAGAGCTCTAAAGATTGGGGCGAACGAACAATAATTCGCTTTGGCAACATCAACGTAAAACGGTAGATGGAACCGCAGGGCTCTGTGGGGAATATAGAAGGCCATTTGTTCAAGAAGAGCAGATATATTTAGTGGGAAGTATTAAAATATTCCAAAGATTTCTAAAAAAAAATCTTTTTATTTAAAACCAGCTTCTTTTGAACATTCACTGAATTTCTTGACCCATATTCGTAACGAATTTACAACCAATTTTGTAACCGAACCGAACCAGTGTCATCACTTATTTTTTTATACTGTATCACTTTCAATTGCCAATGCAAATAACTCAAAAAATTTTGCTTTTAGGTCATGCTCGATGAGGAAGGTCGTTCACGCCGTTTCGGTTTTGTGGCTTTTGAGAGTCCACAGTCAGCACTAGCCGCAGTTATTGGCCTAAATGGCAAGCAATTGGGTGACAATAAGTTTTTGTATGTAGCACGTGCTCTCAACAAGATCGAGCGGCAGCAGGAGATCAATCGAAAACTTGAAGAACGCAAACGGCAGAAGGCTGGACAAGTATTTTATTATTAAATAGCGGAGATGAAAGCAAAATAACAAAAAAATTTGACAGTAAAAGTAATGAGAAATGGATTTTGAGCTAAAGATTGCGATTTGCGATTAATGAATTGTGGTGAGAATTTAAGATTATTGCCGAGCTCATGAAATGGTAAGATAAGAAGAAAGTTGTCATGAAGCGTTAGTGAGTAAGCTTCAAAAATGTAGTTGATACGACTTAGGTTGGAAGAATTTCAAAACAAAAATGATAAGTAAGAATTTCGTAAGAGAATGTCGATGCAACTTTATTGAAAAAAAATAATTCGAATACACATATATAATTAAGAATTACATTAAAAATACAAAAAAAAAAATATTAAGCAAAAAGTAAAACCTAAACACACACATACAACAAATACATATATGTACATGTAGAAATGTAAACTTTAAAGCTAAAATTATGGAATTTCCCTTTTTGATTTCGATGTTAAAAGCAAGTTTACATTAGTAAAAAAACATAAATTAAAGAAAACTCTAAAAAAGAATGCTTATTGTTAAAATTTAACGAATTAAAAAAATATTCTACAAAAAAAAAATATAACTGCATAAGTAAAAACAAAAACGTTGTATAGAAACGCGGTGATTTACTGGCAGTTTAACGTTGGTTACACAGTAGAACTTATGGATGTCACATTGAGTAGAGCTCAATGATTTGCAAATAAAAAAAATTTAAAATTCCACTTCAAATTAAATGGCATATGTATGTCCCTATTAATATATTACTATTATATAGCAACTATGTATAACAAATATTCATGCACTTCTTGAATACACCATAATGTACACAAACAAACAAAAAAACACCTCAACCCATTCACTCATACTTGAACACAAATCAATATTTTTTTGCTTCGATAATTGTAAAGTTTAATTTTTCGTCACAAATCGGCAAAAAACAAATACCTACAACACTGATTGTACGGGCGTCATATAAATTTCAGAAATATAAAAAAATATGCTAATACATATAATCAAGAGAAGTACATTATTATTAAATTACTCACTGTTCAAAACTAAGAATATACCCCAATTCCGCATTATGTATAAGAGTATTTAATTGTATTGCAAGAAACAGAATCGAAACATCAGAAAAATGGCTAAGTGCGAGAAATAACAACAAAAGATGTCTGAAGACCATAAAGATTAACAAAAAAATGTCGAGAATAACAAGAAAATTTTCAAGTAAAAAATGCGACCAATTTTAAGGTTAGTTGTATAACATGTAATTTAAAGGCAAATGCAAAAAAAAAAAACAAAAATAAATAAAATGACGTAAAACTAAAGAAACTGCAATGGTGTAAAAACAAGAACTTAGTTATGTGTAAAAAAGAAAAACAACAAAATGAATGGACAACTGTTAACATCTAAAAACCATTAATTTAAGCAAAGAAAAGCAAACACAAAACACAGAAATCCAGGACAAAAACAAAAACATGAATATGCATAACAATAATTTATTTTATTCTAATGATGATCCCTCAAAAAAAAAACTGGAAATAGGCAAAAAACTATGATTGATATGATTATTATAAATGTTCCCAACAAATTTTAATATTTAAGTTCTTAAAGTAGAGGAAATGTGTAGATATTGCAAAAGGAATACACACACATGGTGAAAAACAAAAACGAATGCAAAAACAGAGAGAATATGAATAAATTAGTAAAGGATAATGAAAATGAGAAAACAAAACAAATGCAAATATAAAAAGAAAAAGAAAAACGCAAAAGAGCAGCGAGAAAAACCGAACATTTTATTGTTAAGAAAAAAGAAAAATTACTATATATTTTTACTAGATGAGATGCAAAAGCATATCTCTCCATTTAATTCCCTTTTCCTCCCCTCTTCCCTTGAAGAAACTACAATTACAATATTATTAAAATAATTCACATGATGTATAAAGCTGAATTTAAGTAGTAGTTCTTTTTTATTGGAACCAAAAGGCATAACAAAATCCTAAAAACCAAAACAAATTGTAATGAAATGGAAACACACTAGAAATGAAACCAATTTAGAAAATAAAACTGGCAAAGTAAGTAATACAAAGATAAAGCAACCAAGAAAAACAAAGTCAAACAAAAATAACAATCGAATTATTAAAAACTTGCCTAATGGCTTAATCATAGTGGCAACAGCAGCAAATGGTAAAAAAATTAAGAAAAAATAAAAAATATTAATTGTACCTTTTACATTATATCTTTACGTGCAGCTGGGGAGAGGGTGAGGACTTTTTCCTCTTTGACCGCCACTGCCACGTCCAAGAACAACTTTGCTGCCATTACCCTATGATTTCGCTATATGTATGTATGTATTTATATTTTTACATAAACAAATGCATGAAATCAGCCAAAAAGTGAAGATTTTTGGAAATCACTTAAGGCAACCAATCTCTTTTTATTGCAGTACATTTTTTTTTTTTTTAATATTTCGAATTCGCCTATATGCAATCGGTCTCGAAGATATGCGGTTAAACACTTCCGAACCTATATTTTTCATATACAAATATATTTTTAAGAAGTGAATTTATTACGTTTTGTTATACTTTTATTTGTATGTATTTGGATTTATATTAACAAACTGTTATACAAAAATAAATAATACCATTCGAAGCAGTGCTAAAATATTGTACATTGGCAAAACAATAAGCGCCCTGTAATTATCTTATCAAACAAGGAAGTAAAAATTGTATATGTATGTACATTTGAGATACAAAAATGCCGAAAGAAATAAACTGCATACATAACATGAAAGGAGGAAAAAAGAC